ACACTGGCAGGTCTCAGCTTTGCAAAGAGGGCAGTGCATGCTATAAATTCTGCAGGGTGCCCAAACTTTTGCAGATGCCATTTTTTTGTTTTCTGTTATTTTGAAAGTGTAAATGATGGAAATAAAATCTAACTTTTGTTGACATATTATAAGAATATCTAATCTGTAATTTGATGCCTTTTGGAGATTTTTCCATCTTTCCTTGGCTTCTTTATGCACATTAATACAAATTTTTAGCTGGGGTGCCCAAACTTTCGATCCCCACTGTAGATGTGCACCAACGCGAAGCTTCCTTACCCTGACAATTGATGAGCACACATACACACACAGGAAAGGTACCCCATGTGCAGGGCGATTGACCCCACCAACAATGTCTAATATAGCCCTAAGAACCCCAGTTGGTATAAAGTTTGTTCTGTTCAACAGCACATAGTCCACAGTTATCAGTCCCCCCCCCCACACATACATCAGAAAAGGGCCCAGTAAACGTCCTGCTAGAATTGTGGGCATATATCAAGGTATTATATAATTACCAATAGAGATGCCTCTGGATGAATGTTGCAACAAAGTCCACTTGCAGGGGCAATGCACAGTTCATCTTGGTGTCAGAGACCTGAAGACAAGATCGGTGGTAATGAAAAGATCCTCTAGGTGTTGTCCAACCAGCCTAGAATGCAGCTTCTCACTGGCAGGAACTGTGGTGTGACACTGGAACTCAGAGTTAGCTTATCTACTCTGTGCTTTAGTCCTTCCCCAGTAGTTTCTAAACTGACATGCAAATGAATCTCTAGCTACCAGACGTGACTATCATATGCCTAACCTGGCTCTAGTGTGCAGGTTACTGAACCCTAAGCTAAAACAAGCTACAATGCCTTGAAAAAGTATTCATACCCCTTGAAATTTTCCACATGTTGTCATGTTACAACCAAAAACATATTTTATTGGGATTTTTTGGGATAGGTCAACACAAAGTGGCACATAATTGTGAAGTGGAAGGAAATTGATGAATGGTGTTTTAAAATGTTTTACAAATAAATATCTGAAAAGTGTGGCATGCATTTGCATTCAGCCCCATTTACTTTGATACCCGTAACTAATATCTAGTGGAACCAATTGCCTTCAGAAGTCACCTAATTAGTAATTAGAGTCCATCTGTATGTAATTTGATCTCAATATCAATACAGCTGTTCTGTGAAGCCCTCAGAGGTTTGTTAGAGAACATTAGTGAACAAACAGCATTATGAAGGCCAAGGAACACACCAGACAGGTCAGGGATAAAGTTGTGGATAAGTTTAAAGCTGGGTTAGGTTATAAAAAATATCTCAGTGCTCTCACGGGGCACTGTTCAATCCATCATCTGAAAATGGAAAGAGTATGGACCACCCCAATCCTACTAAGACATGGCTGTCCACCTAAGCTGACAGGCCAAGCAAGGAGAGCTTTAGTCAGAGAAGCAGGCAAGAGGCTCATGGTAACTCTGGGAGGACCTGCAGAGATCCACAGCTCAGGTGGGAGAATCTGTCCATAGGACAACTATTAGTTGTGCACTCCACAAATCTGGCCTTTATGGAAGAGTGGCAAGAAGAAAGCCATTGTTGAAAGAAAGCCATAAGAAGTCCCGTTTGCAGTTTGCAAAAAGCCATGTGGGGGACACAGCAAACATGTGGAAGAAGGTGCTCTGGTCAGATGAGACCAAAATTGAACTTTTTGGCCTAAAAGCAAAACGCTATGTGTGACAGAAAACTAACACTGCATATCACCATGAACCCACCATTCCCATCGTGAAACATGGTGGTGGAAGCATCATGTTGTGGGGATGCTTTTTTTCAGCAGGGACAGGGAAGCTGGTCAGAGTTGATGGGAAGATGGATGGAGCCAAATACTGGGCAATCATAGAAGAAAACCTGTTAGAGTCTGCATAAGACTTGAGACTGGGGTGGAGGTTCACCTTCCAGCAGGACAACAACCCTAAATATACATCCAGAGCTACAATGGATTAGTTTAGATCAAAGCATGTTCATGTGTTAGAATGGCCCAGTCAAAGTCCAGACCTAAAGTCAATTGAGAATCTGTGGCAGGACTTGAATATTGCTGTTCACAGACGCTCTCCGTCCAATCTGACAAAGCTTGGGCTATTTTGCAAAGAAGAATGGGCAAAAAAGTCATTCTCTAGATGTGCAAAGCTGGTAGAGACATCCCCAAAAAGACTTGCAGCTGTAATTTCAGAGAAAGGTGGTTCTACAAAGTATTGACAGAGGGGGGCTGAATACAAATGCATTCCACGCTCAGATATTTATTTGTAAACAATATTGAAAACCATTTATCATTTTCCTTCCACTTCACAATTATGTGCCACTTGGTGTTGGTCTATCACATAAAATCCCAATAAAATACATTTACGTTTTTGGTTGTAACATGACAAAATGTGCAAAATTTTAAGGGTATGAATACTTTTTCAAGGTACTGTATATAAGGGACATGGTTAACCAAAAAACAAGAGCTGTATACACTGTAAACTCTGTTGAAATAAACAGTTTCATCTACTAATATACTGGAAGGTGACCATTACTCACATACAGCAGCACAGACCTAACTATCTGGCACTGTGCATGTGAGATAATACCAATAGGACAGAGATACTCTGTGTGTCACAAGGATTCAGATACACCATGAAGAAGCTATGGGCAGCTGCACTGAAACTATTAGGACCCTTTAACACTGATTAGCTTTTGATATGCTTTTGTGCAGCTTATGGCCCTTTCGAAAAACTTCACCAAAAAGGCACCTTCTATTGTAACTCAATGGAGCATGCAGGACTTTTCAAAGTGCAGCGTACCTGCAGCGTGAACAATTACAAAGGATTTAATGGACAATAGTATTCATGCGCTTTTATGGCCCTGGTAAAGCACAGCAAAAGCTCACCAGTGTGAAAGGGATCTTAGAACTTAGCAATACTTGCATAATAGTCTCTGCTTCTGGTCTGGGTAAAATTACAGCAACAGTAGCAGCCCCTCTATGTATAAGATTATCCAGCTAATTTCTGTCTCTCTCTTTCCACTTCCTCCTGTGCCATTCACATGCAATTCAGTGTGGTGCGATTTCATTTTGAATGGGTTCAAATTGCACAGCATCTCACCAAAGAAGTACATGTGCCTTTTTGGAGCCACACCGAACCGGATCACATGTTTGTTTTATACGATGCGATCGGGTGCAAGCAAAAGCACTGCATTTGAGACTTGCATTTGGAGTGTTGTTAACTTTGTAGCAGATCACAAGGGCTGTCAGGGATACCACATGAAGGCATCCAGAAAGGCTGATCAGATCAGTGGGCTGTACTTTAACCCCTTGGCGCAGATGTCACACAAATATGCAGCCTCACAGAACTGGGCTTTTTTTTTCCGTGGGGCCGCATATTTGCGTAGCTGGCTTTGTGCTGGAAGTGTGCTGCACAGAGCCCTGGGTCTCATTTTAACAATCAGGACCTGGAACTCCTGATTCTGGGTCAACTGATCGCTGTGTTAGTCTCTGATGGGCTATCACAGTGATCAAATAATGTGAAGCCCGTCCCTGTGTTTTCTTTCTGAATGGAGGGGAGATGCATTGTGTCTCTCTCTCATTGCAGAGAGAAAAAAGAGCAACAGTGTGTAAAAAAGGAAAAATAAATAAATATAAAAAAAATAAAATAAAAAGTAAAGAAAAAAAATACCTAGATCAAGGTTTGATCTAGGTCAGTGCCAGGGTTAGTGTTTGGGTCAAGGTCAGGATTTTTTTTTTTTTTTAGAAAATTAGTGTCAGTGTGTTTTAGGTAGGACAAAACTTTTTTTCCTTCCTTGGATCACTTTTGGTAGGTCCTGACCACTGCACACTGGAAATATCCTACAGGAGCCGCATTTTTGGAGTTGCTCTGCCCCAGTTGTCTAGCCATTACAATGTGGCCTTTGCAAACATTGCTCACATTCTTACACTTGCCCCTTTTCTGCTTTCAATACATAAACTTCATGGACAATGTGTTTTTTTTGCAGTCTAATATATCCCACCCTCTTTCAGATGCCACTGGAACAAGATAATCAAGGTTATTTGCTTAACCCAGGGGTGGGCAAACTTTTTGACTTGAGGGCCGCAATGGGTTCATATATTGGACCCGGGGGCCGGACCAAGAGTAGATGAATGATGTGCATGTGTCATCCATAGTAAGTATAGTAATATTCCCCCATAGTAAGCATAGTAATTAATCCCCCATATAGTAATTCATCCCCCATATAGTAATTCATCCCCCATATAGTAATTCATCCCCCATAGTAATTCATCCCCCATAGTAATTCATCCCCCCTATAGTAATTCATCCCCCCCTATAGTAATTCATCCCCCCCTATAGTAATTCATTCCCCATATTAATTCATCCCCCATATTAATTCATCCCTCACAGTACTATTCCCCCCCAAGTAGTAAGCCAAGTCCCCCCTGTGTCAATTCACTTACCTTTGCTCCGCGCGTTCCTCTCGCCGTGTTCCCGTGCCGTTCCGGTCTTCAGGGCGGACTGTGAGAGGAGCCTAGCTCCCCTCACGTTCGTCACGCTGCCCCGCCTACACACATCCTGACAGCCACATCCGCGGGCCGGATTAAAAGGTCCGCCGGGCCGTAGTTTGCCCATTGCTGGCTTAACCTGTCAGTGGTCATAATGTTTTGGCTGTTCGGTGCATATAGACAGACCACGAGTAAACAATAAACCGGAATCTCACATTTTGTGTGTACTGATATTATCTTTCTGCTTATAACGCAACTAAGGCTTAATTACAATAGTAATTTGTGACACTTTAAAAAATATATCTCTGATGAGATGTCTTCTCATGTCTGTTATGTCACTTACAGTATTTGATTAGACAACTTAACCGCCGCTCTATAGTAGAAGTACTACTACAGGGCGGCAGGGCTGCACAAAATCACACATATATATATACGTGATTTGCATTTCCAGGTAGGGGGCATGCGCTGCCCTACCCGTGTTGCCATTGGTGGCTAGTGATGTCAATCATCGGGTCCCAGCCGGTGATTCCACGCCACCTCTCATTGATCGCTGGGGAAAGCTGAGAGGGGAGAGACCTGTATATACACAACACAGGTCTCTCCCCTGTCAGCAAGGACATGCTGCTTTGTATTTCTATGCACAGCAGAGAAATACAAAGCAGCATGTCTCCACTGTAAAACAGCAGATGTGAAAACACACACAGTTAACCCTTTGATCACCCAAGATGTTAACCCCTTCCTGCCCAGTGTCTGTACAGTGTCAGTGCTTTGTATTAGCAGTAATCAGTGTATTAGGGTCACTGGGGATGGCAGTGGCAGTTAGTCAGTTCCCCCCCAGTGTCAGAATTGCCCGCCGAAGTCCCTCTTTAAGTTGCTGTTTGCTGCCATTACGAATATAAAAAAAATAAAAATCAAAATTCCTGTATATATAACTCCAAACGCTATAACTTTCACATAAACCAATTAATTTACACTTATTGGGATTTTGTTTATCAGAGACATGTAGCAGAATACATTTAGGCCAAAATTTACGACGAAATTTGATGTTATTAATTAAATTAAATTTTTTTTATTGGATATGTTTAATAGCAAAAAGTCAAAAAATTTTTTTTTTTTTCCAAATTGTCGGCCTTTTTTTGTTTATAGAGCAAAAAAATAAAAAAACGCAAAAGGTGATCAAATACCACTGAAGGAAAGCTCTATTTTGGTAACATTTGGGGATTTCCTCTAACTTTCTGTTTTGGCCATGGGACAGGAAATGAAGAGAAATCTCCCCAATGGAAAAACCTGACAGGGGTTATAACCCCCCTTACTTTATCCAAAATGTAAAGAAACGTTTTGCCATATGAAGGCCAGTGGAGGCACACTGTGAGGTGGATGCTGTAGAGGTACGTTGAGTCAGACTTCTCTACTCGGGAGCAGCAAAGTTAATCACCACAGCTGGAGGGAAGTTACAGAACCGGTCACTCTAACAACATGGAAGAGTGGGAGAAGCTGAGCTTATCTCGGTAGCATGACAGACCTGGTCATACAAACAAGCAGTAAAGCCGGTAAGTTGGGAGGGAGCCTGAGTTGGGAATCCAGACATGCCAACAGGAGGACCAGCAAGAGGGCACAGGACACTGACACGGACCGGGGGGCGCAGGATACACTGACAGGAGGATTAAGCTGAAGGGCAAGACACACACTGAAAGGAGGATTGGCTGAAAGATGAGGTACACACTGACAGGAGCTGCAGGCATGCAGTGAGTATGGAAGTGGGATACATTGATAGGTCTTACTGCAGAGGAGCTGGGGTACTGTGAGGGCTCTGTGAGAATGAAACCAGGTAGTACTTAGGAGTAACTTGAGTACTGTAGAATATTTCAGAGTACTGGGAGTAACTTGGTGTACTTGGGAGTATTTTAGAGTAACTTGGGTACTGGGAGTAATTGAAAGCACTGCGAGTAACTTGTGGTAACTTGGAGGAATAGGAGCATTTTGGAGTAACTTGGCCTACTGGGAGTAATTTGGTGTACTGAGAGCAACTGGGGGTAACTCGGAGTACTGAGAGTATTTCAGAGTAACTTGGGTACTGGGAGTAATTGGAAGTAATGGGAGTAACTTGGAGGAATAGAAGTAATTTGGAGTACTTGGCCTATTGGGAGTAATTTGGTGTACTGGGAGCAACTTGGGGTAACTCAGAGTACTGAGAGCATTTTAGAGTAACTTGGATGCTGGGAGTAGTTTGGAGTAATTGAAAATACTGGGAGTGACTTGGAGGACTAGGAGTAATTTGGAGTAACTTGGCGTACTGGGAGTAACTTGACGTACTGGGTGCAACTGGAGGTAATTCAGGGTACTGGGAGTATTTTAGAGTAACGTGGGTACTGGGAATAATTTGGAGTAATTGGGAGCAACTTGGGGTACTTGGGAGTATTTGGTAGTACTGAAATAATTTGAAGTACTAGGAGTAACTGGGAGTATCTTCAGTACTGCGACTAGTTTGAGAACTGGGAGTAACTTGGAGTACCATCAGAAATTTGGAGTAACTGGGAGTAACTGTTAATACTAGGAATAATTTTAAGTACTGTGATAAGCTGGGTGGACTATGAGTATTTTGGAGCAACTTGACGTACGGGTAGTGGTTTGGAGTACTGGGAATAAGTTAAAAATAAACTTGGAGTAAATTGGAGATTAACAAGGAGGTTTAACAGCTAAGTGTTTTTGTTTTTCCTGTAATATCCCCATTAGAGTAGTAGGTAAAATGTCCATCAAGACCCAGTGCACATCTTGCTCCATGTATATGTTCCTTGAAGAACTGTTTGAGGGTGAATAGTGCTGTGCGAGACGTGAGCTAGTTGTTTCTCTGGAAGCCCAGATCTTGGATCTGGAGAATCAAGTAGCAACACTGCGAAGCATCAACAGCCTGGAAAGGAGCTTAGACATTACCCAGCAAGTACTGACAGGGGCCAGCATAGAGGGGGGTGAGGATATGGCAGGTACAGGAGCCAGAAGTAGGTAACTTGGTGACAGTTAGAAGGAGGGGTAGAGGGAAGAGCCTTAGAGAGGCTAGTCCTGAGTTGGTACACCCCAATAGATACAGTATGGCAAGTTGTATGATGTTGGGGATATCAGCTCAGTTGTGGCACGGCTGGAGGGGTTCTCTCCTTGTGTTGCCAGGGGAAGGACTGCTCTGGTAAAGAGGGGGCCAAGGATAAAGGCAAGGTTAGGCAGATACTGGTGGTAGGGGACTCAATCATTAGACAGATAGATGGGGCAATCTGTCACAAAGACCACGACCACCGAAACAGTATGTTATTTACCGGGCACTCGGGTTTGGTATATTGCGGATTGGATGGAGAGATTGTTGGGAGGGGCTGGGGAGGATCCAGCTGTAATAATACATGTTGTTACCAACGACAAAGTAAGAGGCAGGAGGAGTTTTCTAAAAAATGATTTCAGCGACTAAACTGAAGAAAAGGACCTCCAAAGTAGTATTCTCAGAAATACTGCCCGTACCTCGAGCCACACCAGAGAGGCCGCAGAAGCTAAGAGAACTTAACAAGTGGCTGAGGAATGGGTGCAAGAAGGAGGGTTTTGGGTTCCTGGAGAACTGGGCTGACTTTTCAGTCGGTTACCTGCTCAATAGTAAGGATGGACTGCACCTTAATGGGGAGGGTGCAGTTCTGTTGGGAGAGAGGATGGCCAAAAAGGTGGAGAGGCTTTTAAACTCAGTGGTGGGGGGGGGGGCTCAGATGATGAAGCGATAGCCAACAGGGAGTGAAGGTCAGAGGGTGCTATAACCATAATGCCACAATCCTGGAAAAGTGGACTGTCAGCACCTGTGGTAGTGAGTTCTTAATCCACAGCTTGGGGTTGCCTAGGGCACAGAGTTTAAGCCCCAGCCTGCTTGTTCACCAGAGCCCCTGATGGTGGGGATGGACTTGGAGCTGGCTGGAACCAGGTCGCGGCCCCCAGGTACATCCAGCTGAGGTAGAAGAGACCGCTAGCGGGAGCAGGGTACAATGGGAGTAGACTCAGGAGATCTAATAGGCAAGCCGAGGTCAGGACAGGCGGAAGACAAGCGATGTCAGGAACGAAGCCGGGGTCGGTACACGGATAGACAATTTAGGAGGAATGTCAGGGACAAGCCGGGGTCGGTACACAGATATACTTGAATGGATTCTCAGAGGAACACAGGGGCGCTCTTAAATAGACAAGCCAGCTAGGAGGCGGGCCAGGAAGTGATGAAAGGGAAGCACATAAAACCCAGGGAATAGCAGACAACGCCCATAGGTGAGCACAGAGAAACACATGTGAAAGAACAGCAAGGAGGTAAGACAAAACAAACAAGAGGCTGCAGGCTAACTTGTGACATGGACTGGCAAAACAAAAACAAAAATTACAGCCACACAACAACTAAGCAAGAAAAAAGGTTAATCCTTATGCTGCTAGCATTAGTAAATAGACAGGAAAGTATATCATATTTACTTGTTTTTAACTTTTTTTTTTACATTTGTTCAGTTACCTCCTCGTTTCCAGGCCTAAGTAAATGATATCATACATCCCAGGAGTCTTCAGGAGGGGTTTTCTCAGCCAATCACACCCTCCTGCCTCCATGCCTGAGCTAAGGGCAGATGGATTCAAGTAAATGCTATATGAATAATTTGCCCTTACTCAAGATGGTCATGGCTAGAAATGCTAGTGGGATGTTTTTAAAGTGATTTCTCAGCAAAATAAAGCATGGAGACATGGATGGGTGGGTGAGTTTGCTTTGAATATTAACAATGAATCAAATAGCATTTTTTGCCTTGTGTTGGTCAGATGCAGAGTAGTTCCACTATAACTGGGACTTGTTACTATTCCAGAAGCAACTCTCTACCCATATGCATATGCCTAGCACAAGGGTCTCCAATTTTTCTAAACAATGGGGCAGTTTACTGTCCTTCAGACTTTGAGAGGGCCAGAATGTGGCCTATGTGAGTAGAACATTCCCTGACATCAATGGGAGAGTAAACAATGCCCCTTCATTGGTATTAGTAGGAGGAATGATTTCCCCATAGCTGCTGTTACAGGATTATCAGTGATCTGAGTGCAATCTATGACAAAGATGCATCCTGCAGTATCTGTGTCAAGAGGAGAACACAAAACACATGTTGCTCACTTGCTCATTCTGAGTTTATTTATTTTTTTAAAATACCTTCTTTAATCTGACCACATACAGAGTGAACAATACTTCTTACTAAAATCTGACTAGTACAACACTCCTTAAGTCTATAGACAATTACTGTCACCATAATCTGAAAAAGAAAAATACAAACAAGCAAAAAAAAAACATAGAAAGAGTGAGAGTATCAGATATGTAATCATGTATACACTGACTCACCATGGTATATAGGGTCTGCTCCCTGTTGAGGTCGGTTTTTTTTAACAAACTAATAGAGGGTGATCAAAGAAACAGAAGAGAAAAAAAAGGGAGATGGGGGCAGAGAGAAAGGAAAGTGGAGGAAAGAATGGGATGAATTGAGGGATGGGGTGGGCAGGGAGACCCAGATAACATCCATCCTGGTTTTCGAGGCCTATTCACTGAGAGTATAAATATGCCTGCCAGGGCATCCAAATCTCACAGTGTTTCTCAGGTTGGTTCCTAATGAACGCTGTTAACTGTTCCGTAAGTTGAATGTCAGATACCCTATTACACCAA